ACGATCGTAACTTTTTTAATTACTCATCGGATTTAATCCAAATAGGCACCATTCGAATCAGCACACTTTTGCCAATGTGACAGCAGTCGAGAAATCCCATCAAAGTAAAAAACTGGGTGGTCGAAAATTCACGAAATCCACTAAGGCTTTTTTGCCTGGTCCTGATTGATGAAGTATTTTCCAGCAAGGGAGTTCTGAAAATGTTAGAAAAGGTGTCGGTTGGCGAAAGGTCTGAAGAATATGGCGGTTGAGGTAGAACTTCAACCCCCAATTCGTTCAATTTATGGATAGTGATTTGTGAAACGTGTGGGCGGGCGTTGTCATGCAAAGGAATCGGACCCTTTCTTTTGATAAGTGTTGGCTGCATCTGACAAAATTTTTCGGTTCAATTGTTCTTCTTCACAGTAGGGTTCTGCTGTGATGGTTTGGCCTGGTGATAAAAAGTTATAGTGGATCACACCAGCCGATGACCACCAAGCCGTGACCAGAATCTTTTTTTCGTGAGGGTTCGGCTTTGAAAATTACCTCGGTGGTTCGTCGAAATCCAACCACTGTCCGGAACGTCTCCTGTTATCATACATGACCCATTTTTCATCACAGGTGACAATTCGGCCCAAAACAGGTCGTTTCTGCTGCGCAAAAGCAATGCAGAAGGAACCTCGAGACGTGCCGATTCCTGCCGGTCACTCCGATTGTGGGGCACCCAATTGTCGAGTTTTTCACCTTCCCAATGCGTTCCAGACCATCTGCAACAGTGGATTTGCCAAGGCCTAGCTCTTCTGCTATCTCTCGAACTGTTTGGGATGGACGTCAGCCCCAACAATCCTATCAAATTCCCTCGTGTCAAGAATATTGACATTTAGGTCCACCGCTATGAGGTTCATCTATCAAAGGATTGAAATCTCCAGAAAACAGAAATTTACTATGAACTATTGATCGACAACGGTGCTATGTACTCCTACAACTACTTGAGGCGCCCCACACCTCAACTATAATTTATGAATTTGAGACATGTTATCGAATTGCGGATTGACCCCACTTTAGTAGTCGAAGAAAAAATCAGATGAGCCAAAGTGCTCTGTTTCACAATGCTAATGAAAAATCATATGAAAAAAGGGGGTTTACCTCCAGTAAATTGGATGAAAACAGAGCTACGGATAGCGCAAGAAATTACTTACAGTAATGTGCTACTGATAATTTTAGGGAGATATGAGTTTATATTACAATCAAGCAATGAAAATGTACAAAAAATAGGGTGACAACAAACGAATGAGAAAACTGTAACGGGAACAACCTAATAAGTTGATAGTGCCGAAGTTATATATTGTATACTCGGTACACAAACTTGTTCTCTATCAATACACATCGAACTAACAGTTACATTAAATTAGATTTACAAGGTCCCTTCATTTAGCATATTTTTCACTGAGCTTAGACGAACTCACACGATGCATAACTTCAAGAAAACTGCTGTGGTATTAATGAAAATCGATTGACGTGATTAATAAGCTACAGTTCACCCGTTCAAACAGACCATAAATGGCACACTCAAAGAATGCAGCCAAGAAAAAAAATAATTTTCGTAGTTGTTGAATAACCAAATGCATTTCAAAATCGAATATTTAAGCTTTACTTAACTTCAAAATGTCGACTACAATAACAATCACAACAGTCATGCACCCAGTTAATCAACAAAGAAACCCAGAAGTGAGGAGAAACGATAAGGAAAAATCAGAGCGAGAATGTGCTGGGTCCATTGTGACGGAAAATAAAGAAAGAGTTGCCTTTGATATTCTATTTGGTAGTTTTTCATCATAAGAACAATCATATAAACACAGACCACACCTTTCAATCAGCACATAGGCTTCACATTGATATCATTTAACAAAATAAATAACTACAACAACAACACCAACCCCCGAATCTTGGACGCGGTGACAAAAACCATTGGCTAATGTTATGTGGGAGGCATCAAAACAGCCGTCACAGCCACCAAGACAGCTGAAGGTGGAGGCATTGTGAAACCTTACTATCACCTAGTAGAACTTTGCCTTGTCGGGTTTGCTTCTGAAAACAAAGAAAATATAAGACACATCAGACGGGTGTGCAATTGTCGAAAAGAAAAAGCAAACCTGACGAATATCATAACCACGATGATAAGTCCTTGGATGAATATCACAGCGAGGAATAAACTCGACGACAGGCATGCGATGTTTGGACAGGCAACGGAACCTCCTCCGCCACTCTGAAAGGACGAGTAACTGAACTTTGACCAGAGTAACTAAACTTTAAATCACTCCGGTCCGCAAAACTGCGTTTACATGCCCGTTTTTGTCGATTTTACCGACAACATTTGATAGCCTGGATAATATTCAGTGACTACAAATTTTTTACAAGCTATAGAAATACAAGTCGATAAATCTTATAGCTTGGCTGTTAAAGCAACACTCCCCCGTATTGTCGCGGTCCTACTGGAACTTTATTGTACACATTAAAGGTACGCCCTGGGCTCGAGTAAGTTGCGCGCTCAAATGTCGAGGACACGATGATAAGTAGTACAGAAGTGAAGCAGAAAAAAAAACTTGCTGGGAATGCCCCATAGAGAACCCCATGCCGAACCGCGCTTGTATATTCATGAGGCGAAGGAAGGAAGTGCGTGGTCGGACGAGATCTCACTTGGCCAGGGCCAGATCTTTCTCTTTATCACCAGACTCCTACCATTCGGAATGGAGAGAGTTAGTTGCGGAACAATTTCGCCATCAAATAGTGGAATTCAAAGTTGAGCTTTGCCGTGACCAGTGGGCGGAGCCATGGCCTCGTCGGAAGCGGGTCGCGCTCTCCTCATACATTTTTGAGCTGTGGAAACAGTGCATCCTCCATGCTTGTCGACAGTACTACCGTGTCCGAAGAGGCGTCTGCGCGAAGCTAACACGGGGCATGCCATGAAGGCCGAGATAAGATTTTTTAACTCTTGGCAGTAGGGCCACAATTCACGGTAGAACTGTTTATTACCACGCAAAATTAGAAATGGCCTGTTATCACCATAAATCTTTGCTTCAGTAGAGAGTAGACAAAGGGGCACAACTCTTGAACTGATAGTGAGTTAAGATTGCTACCCCCCACTGATCTTGACGCGTACAATAACGAAACAAGTATTGCCGCGAAAGGTACGAAAAAAGCGCAATCGCGGTCCTAAACAGGCCGCGGAGGTGAAACTCGTTGCAGATTCTTCGAATGAGCGAAGAAAAAGGGAAAGCAGATAAAAATCACAAAATCAGGAGATGATAAAAATTACCTGCTGTAACTGATTGGCTCTAACCGATCGTACTTCATTCAGTAGACTGTCAACCTTCTGGTGCATAGTGTGGTCTACTCCACCGCCTCCGCCTCCACCTCCTTGTGGAGCTCCCTTAAGACATGCAGTTCTCACACATCTTTCTAGTCCACATGATGATAAAAGAAGTAAGAGTACTAACCTGTCCCCATTTCTGTTCCAAATTGTAAGTTTTGGTGAAGATCTCATTAATATACTGCTTTTGATCTCGTAGAGATTGCGTAATGTCTCTCAGAGTCTGAAGCATCTCATTCTTCTCGTGTTGAAGCAACCCACCAGCGCCACCCGCAACTGAAATGCAACTAATGAACAAATGCTAATCAGTACTCGAATAGGCACTTCTCTAACAAAAAAAAGCTGTTATCTCGAATAGAGAGTCTCGCAATATTTGAAAAGGAATGTTCACGGAAAAAAATGAGCTAACAATCTTCACGTTGTCCCTTGTTGTAACCTCGGCATGATGTCGAATGTTCAATTACTTCTGCCAAACGAGGTTGTTAGATGAAACCTTTTATTGGCCTAACGTTTCGACCTTCTCGTCTTCTTCAGAGGCCGAAGGTCTCACCGTGCGGAGCTTAGCTCACGCTGTGTCAGTAAAATTAACCACTCGTCCTTAGTAGTTCTACTGACATGCAGCGTGAGCTGAGCTTCACACGGTGAGACTTTCGGCATCTGAAGAAAACTAAAAGGTCGGAACGTTAGCCAATGAAAGTTTTCATTTAATAACCGTTTGGCAGAAGTAGCTGAGCATTTTTAAAATCACCACTTTCTCAGATATTCGGCCTCCGATCACCACAGAAACATAGCAGACTTAATGATCGAGTTATGTGGTCAAAGAGATAGATAGATCTCATCCTTTGATCCTCCCTAGCATGACTATACATTTTAAAAAATCACCACTTTCTCAGATATTCGGCCTCCGACCACCACAGAAACATAGCAGACTTAATGGTCGAGTTATGTGGTCAAAGAGATTTAAAGGTTTTTGAATGGTCTAGCGGACAGCAAATAGTATAAAACGTGTACTCTCGAAATTCTTAAGTTCTTATGCGTACAACTAACTACTCCTTGACCCTTCCATATACATGTTTCCCTTTCTGGGAGCCGTTAGAGCTAACATCTACACTGCATCAAGGGACGTTGCTCATAAGAGATTAATGAGCGCTTGCTCGTCGGCAACACGCGCTGTCACAGCGGTGTAAGTAGTTCTCTTGTAGCCTGAAAACGCTGAAGTAGTGAAAGGTCCCGCGTCTCTGACTGCTTCATGTTACACGTTCACGTGATGAAAGTGCACGCTGCCTGCGGGTGCGGCGGACCTGGATACCAAATGCATAAAGGCATTTTATGGATCACTTGATCGCGGGCATTCTCTTTAAGGCAGGTGACTTCATGCGTGAAATCGGTCAAAAGAAGCTTGATGTGTTCCTCTTCTACGGCACCGCGCATCCAGATGCAGCGGAGACACCACGTCAAAAGATTATAGTATTCTAAGGAGTTCTGGTTGTTCTCACCTCACTGACGTCAATTTACACCTTCGAACAATAACGCATTATTCGGTATGTTTTCTTGTGCTTCTCGAG